GCTTTCTCTTTTCCTTTTTCACCACTCTTTTTGTGTTCTTCAAGTGTCTGCCGAATAACACCAGTAAGTTTACCTAAAAGCCGCTCCTCACGAGGAGATACTGAAGTATTTACTTCCTCGGGTTGAGGACCTCCACCCACCTCAGGGGTATGGCTACTAACATGTTCAGCCATTGCTCTACAATATGGAGTAACATTGTATTTTAGAATATTAGGGTTTATCATTACCTAATACTCTACTTAATTCTTTCCTAAGGTTTGTATCCATATAATTACAATGAATCAATTCATATATTGAACTTCCAATAGTTTAAGTCTAAATACCAATCTGTGGTATTTAGTTCACTTAAACCACTACTCTGATACCATGATTGAAAGACCCACACTTTCCTATTTAACAATTGTTACTCCAAAACATGCTACATGCATATTCACAGATAATAATTTACATCGATAATTTTGTTTACAAACGACTGGATACAAACCAACCATTACAAAGTGTTATATATTACACAACTACCCAGGATATTATAGATTTATACATAAGGGAGTACAAAATACAATAGTTTCAAAGTATTCAAAATCTTCTATCAATATATAACTATATTGGATGCTTATCTCCTGCAAGTATTAAACATTGAGATGGTAAGCGGTGACGCTTAGTGAGTTCAATAATAGATACAATATAATGTTATGCCATATATATATATATATATATATATATATATATATATATATATATATACACACACACACACTTCAATATGACAGAAGCAAAGAGGAACAAGGAACAAGAAAGACATATGTGAATCATGTCACAAGCTTTCCATATTAATCAATGATTTTGATTCAAAGATACAGAATCAATGAGATATAACAATTTCCATACTTGATATACATTAATAAAGTTTCGGGCCAAATGGCACAGAAGACATACATTTTCTTATTAAACATTTTGGTAGATATCAGGCTTTCAGCCCTATCTAACCTTCTGTCAATGCCACAGAATAGAAGTCATTCTCTTAGAGACCTACTCTACATGGACAGAGGCTACATACCAGTACCACCTTGAATCTAAGTACTTTCACTGATCATATGGTCAAAGTTATAACTTTGCTATCAGTAATAGCAGAAATAATAACAATGGAAAAGCACATAGAACATGTAACACATAACATACAATTGTTCCTATATATTAAACTCACCGTGATATAACCGGGGGTTAAAATAGTAATTTCTTCAGCACTTCGTTATAATAATAATGTTTCTTCTATGAAAACTAGGAGCTTTATTGAAAACTGGCCCTGCGAGGGTTGAGCTTTAAACCGAAAAAATAAATTTATCGGGGTCTTTTGGCACTTTGAAACGTATTTCAGGTGTTGGAAATGATCTCGGGGCTTCGGGGGAATTTGTAATAGTAAAAATATAACTTTAGGGGTGAAAAAGTGCCAATTTCTAAAAATTAGTCGGGAGGTCTCACACCTTTTATATAGGTGCGAGCCTCGAATCCGAAGCAAGGAGAAACGAGCACGGGGTGGGAAGTTGGCGGTCTCGGATTGGGCGAGCCTTCGGTGCGAGAGGGTTGCGACACGGATTGCATGCGAGGTCGAGATAGGTGGCGGGGGCGAAAAACAGATGCAACACGCGGCACTTTGCCATTGGACCACTTCTTTCGACCGAACACGATTCGGACACGCGGCAAGCATGCGAGAATCCGGGTGACGTGTCTGAGTACTGTTCATGCGAAATTTCTCGGTTTTGATGATTTTCTCAGTTTTTGTGCTCCGAACTTCAAAAATCCATAACTTTCGCATAAGAGCTCCATTTTTGACGTTCTTTATATGCATGTGTAGGTGAAATTACGCTCTACAACTTTCGTTGGCTAAGTTTGACTTTATTTTTAATATTATTATTTTTAACAGATCGGGACAGGAAAATCCGTTAAAAATTCATAACTTCTTCATCCGACGTCCGTTTTCGTCAGTCTTTTTACCGTTGTACTACTATTGACGAGACTTTCGATTCTCGTTTGGGTTGCGTTGGCTAAAAAATCACTCAAGGTTAGATTTGGATGTTCTTTTTATGAAAATTCTCGGTTTAACAAATACTACGACTTTCGTTTAGATCACCAAGGCTAAAAAGTAGTTTATCAAAAACTAACTTTTTACGTTATTCGTTATTGTGTCGGTTCTGTCACGAAACTTCAAATAGTCATAACTTCTTCGTTATAACTCAGATTTCCTTGAGGTTTTCGCCTAAATGTTTCTAACGAGATTCTTTATATTTTTCAATAATAAAATTTTACTTATTTCAAATTTTATATTTTCGTTAAATTTCAATATTCAACTTTTGATTGGAATCTCATAAGACTTTCAATATTTTCCAAGTGATTCTAAATATAGTTCTACTTCATTTCTAGTAAAAATTATCCGGTAGAACTCAATACATAAATTTCATATAGTATTTCAAACTATTATTCATTACAAAACACGAAATCTAAACTTGTATGTAACAACTACGAATCGGTGCGAACGTTCGTAGTGGTTCGTAGTCCACTGTTAATTCTCAGTCTACGTTAACATTATGAATTGGTGCGAATGCTCGTAGTAATTCGCGGTCGACTGTTCATTCGTGGTTCGGATTTTCCAATATCCTTTTTTACTTTATGTATATTATTTCTTATCTTTATTTCGTTTTTCTATCTTTTCTGTTTTTAAGTCTTTTTTAGAAAATCTAAAAATATATAAATGTTCTATTTGTGTTTATTTTTATTTCTTTTATTTTCACAAATCTCAAAAGCACAAAAAATATCTTAAGAAGATCTTGGAGGCACAGATTCGTATCATATCTCAATTCGTGTGATGGGGCAAGTATAAATCTCTTTATCTATGTATTAGATAAGTGTCTCTACAAGCATGCTGATGCATGTTGTCTGAAGCCTCAATAGACTCCATGTAAAGCCTTAATGAACCGATTCTACTAATCGTTTCTTCCCAATCAGGCTGCTAAATTCACATTAGTCGTGAGCTACCTTACTCTTTTCGCCTTGAGTTAAGAGTTATCTGCTTTGTCACTTTTGCATAGCATAGGTACATTCACTTCTCTAGAACCACCTTCATACTTCTCCACTGCCTTCGCACTCATGAATGTAACCCTTGAGACTCACAAATACCACTGAGGTTTATGGTTACACAACATCTATGTTAATGATCTTAGCTTCATCCACCACAAACTGAGTGAAACCCAAAATCCAAAACACCTAATTGAATTGATGGTGAACAACTAAATGCTCAAGATTCTCACCATGGAATTAACGAAAGCCACCTTCGTGGTTTGTACCAAGAAATCTCTTTTTCTTTTGCGAGATCTCTATGATGTGTTCTTATCCCAAGACACTTCTTCCCACAAGATCTAGTTTTATTTTTTTGAGATTTCAAAATTTAATCTTGTCACCAAAATAATTCCAAACCAACTCGTTAAACTGACTACACTGGTCACACGAGTACTCTGTTCAAATCTCGGACTTATGTCACGTTTCAGAGTTTGGATAAAGATGAAGCCACCTTATAAGCCTACTAAAAGATTCCTTTCAATGTTTCTTATCAAACACTTGATCGTATTTCAACGGGAAATCACATAGACACTTATTATTCTCTCTTAACTTCGAAGGAAGAGATCTATGCCTAGGATCCACAGTTTTATGTCTTTTGTTAGACATCACAAAATCCCACATAAAAGTGTTGTTTTAGCTCTTTATCTTTGACACTCTTGCACGAAAATCCTTGTGGTTTTCAAAAGGTCTAGTTCATGGTACTTACGTTTATTTTCAGGTTCGTAGTTCAACTAATGTTCTCTTGAAACAAAATTCATATTCATAAGAGATTGGCGAATTATAACTGCGAAAGGGGCAATGCTGACACGGAAATTCATATCGACAAGAATTCAAATCGGCGCGTGAAATTTTGAATGGACAACAACTTTAGCGCTATATGAAGCATGGGTGTGACATCTACAGTTGTCAAGTTGCGCTTTTTCAGACAACGTTTCAGTAACCGATGTATTCTCTCTCCTGATTACTCTCACAAATCAAACCGTATATAAGAATTTTAACGACTCTTCATTATTTACCACTCACAAATTCTCTCAAATATTTCCAGCGATCAAAGTGTCTACTGTTCATCTTCTTTCTCAAGCTTTAACAGTGGCGGGTTCCTCTGAAAATGTCTCTATTCAAGATCTAACTGCACACTCCTCCCCACTGGCCATCAAGCAACATCAGAACTTGATAATCGATCTCGAGCCATGCTAGTATGATAGTTTTATGCTTCCAATCGTTGAATGTCACAAGTATTCTCCACTGACTGTTGCACTCACCAAGATGGAGAATTTTACAATGTCGATCTTGTCTAAAGCATATTCCTCTGCTAATTATATCAAGGAAGAACAGAGGATTGCTTTTGAAATTCACAACCACACAACTTCCATCACAAAAACTCGATTCTATTCACTTCTAAGGCTTCCACAAACAGACGACATGATCAACCCTGAAACGGTGTCTAGTGAGGCCCTTCTAGAGATGTTTTACCAAATGGGCTACAAAGAAACCTAAGCACCATCACAAAATTCAGGAATCCAAATATGCTTCCTCAATGGAATGGTCTTTTCACTTTACTATTCAAAGTTTTTTCTGAAAGAGTGACTGGGTCCGACTGTGCCAGTAAGATGTTAATGGCGATTCTCTACGGTCTCTACACATGTTTGAATGTCGATTATGGGTCTGTTCTATGGTATTAAGTTGTTCATAGAACCCTCTCTACTTTACATCATAGTGAAATCACTTGTGCACATTTTTGGACCATCATTGTCCAAAGGTCCATCGAAAAGCTTAAGATCACACCGATGCAAGATGCGGTGATGGCTTCAATCTCTACCTTTCAGACCACCGGTATTATCGTTTCTGATTCTTCAAAATTCTCTCTCGTTAGCTCAATTCCAGAGGCAATGTTTCCTGAAGTGCCTGGGTCTAGTAAAATCTTGGAGGGATACAGGAAACTAACTGCTTCAGGGTTTCGTCCCTTAACTCCTGAAACGTAAGCAATTATAGCGGAGGCGGACAAACCCAAGAAAGGGGGACAAAAGGGTGTGAAGAAGGGAGAAAAGAGAACAACTGATAAAGAAGGACCTTCAGCAGCTGCGAAACCACCTACAAAGAAAAAGGCGAAAGTTGCTCCTTCTACTGCTGCTCCTAAAAGGCGAAAGCAACTTGCTCACAAGCGTAAGTCCCCTACTCCAAGCGAAAATGAAAGTTTGGAGTCTGAATCTCAGTTGGATATTCGCAATGAGGAAGAACCACATGTTCACAATGAGGAGGGAGAGTCTGCTCACAATTATAAGTCTACTTCTGATACTAAGTTAACTCAAACTCACAATGACTTTGTTCCTTCTCCACTACTACACCGATCACCATTGCACCATGCCCTCCACCTGTTTCATCTCGGCCTCAAAGCACCATTCCCTTATGTACACCTTTATACACTGATTTCACTATTCCTCCAACAGCTTCTGGAGAACCTGCTGTTTCAGTCAACGCATCTGATGTGGGGGCTAAAACTTCAGGCTTTCAATTATCCCATGTCTCTCCACCCGTTTCTCCAATACACCAAGATGATCCTAACATGATCTATGGGCATGATGAGGATGAGTTGGCAGGGTTTACTTATACCCCATTCACTGTTCGCAATGAAAGTGATGATGAAGCACCAGTTACAAAGGGGCAATTGAAGGCAATAAACGAAACACTTGACACTCAGCTTCAGGTTTCTAAACCATCTTCTTCTTAGGAGTACTCCCAAGCCTCCATTAAGTCCATTCTTGAAACCCTCACCAAGGATCATTCATCTAATCTTGAAAATATAAACAATGTTTTGAATGCCTCTACCTTTGTTTGCAACGAAACGACCGAAAAAGTCAATAAACTAATTTCTGATGCTACTACGTTTATGAAAAATTTCCAGGGTTCTTTTCAGACCAACACAACGAGAGCTAATGAAGCAATTGAAAATCTTGGCTCGTCTCTTATGGCTGAAAGAACAAAACTACCAGAAGTCCGAAAATCACCACTGATCACAAAGAGTTCAAATCATCCATTTCTTCTCAAGTCTCTAAACTCTAGGATGATCTCACCATGGAAAGAAAGATAATGGACTCCTTTACCATTAAAACTGAAAAAGTTAAAGTTCTCACTGTTAAGCTCAAACATTCTAAGAAACAGATTCAGGATCTGATTATTGAGAAGGGAATAAGTTATATATCTGATGTCAATGGCCTCCTCTCAGAAATTATAGAAACCAAGGATCCAATGATAACAATTACCATTCGGAAACATCTTGTTGAAAAGCTAAGACCTATGTTCGCTATGTTACACCACTTGGAGGGTGTTCTGGAACCTTCTGTTATTCCAAAACAAGGGGGATATCAACCGAAAAAGCCTTTAACAACTTCAGCAAAGCCAACCACTTCAATCAAGCAAGGCATTAAGAGCGAATCTGAGCCAAAAGGCAAAAACAAGCTTTTTTCTGAGGAGTCAATAGTTGATAACAACGATGAAGAAGAGCTTGATGAAGAAGAACTCAAAATGTGAAAGGCTCGTGAGGCTGAACTGGATGAGAATCAAATAATTGTGAGAGAGGTTGAAGCTAAGGAGAAAGCTGACAAAGAAGCAAGGTCCGCTCTTAAAAGCAGGAAACTTGTGTTTCCTATTTGGACTTTAAAAAGGATTGAAAGTCAAGTTTTTGATTCACCTAATCAGTATTGGCTAGAACCAGTTGTGTCGTTCGACCTCTAGAATACTCAGGACTCATAACTGGATCTTCTAGTTACATCTATAGCCTTCAAGTTTCATTCTTTCATCAAGGTTTAGAATGTTCCCGTCTCTGATAATGGTGCTGATCAGCTTCTCTTCCAATTCTATCTTAAGCACATGAGGCCGCAATATGAAACTTGTAGTGCTAGTAAAATCACGACAACGAAGGTAACCGGACCAATCGAGACTAACAGTTTTCCAAACGCCAAATTTAAAGTTTTCATAGGTCCCGCGAGTCAAGTTCAGGAGTTCATTCTCACATACCTGCCATGTATCAATCATTATGATTGGATAATTATCTACAACTTTTTGTTACTAGACGTGCAGAAGTACGAACCTGTCATCCATCAGCTTAAGCTTATGATAATTTCATATATCCAAGAGGTAGGCATCATCGATGTAGAGATGGATGCAGTGTTATGATAGAAGCCTACTACAGTTCCTAAAGAAGCCCCTAAGGGGTTTGAAAAGTTAAAGCTTGGAAAAATCTACAAGGAAAGTTGGTATGCTGTCTTTCAACCGAGGGGTAAGAATGATGTTGACTATCGCAAAACGTGTTTCTTCCTCCCAGACAAACACTTATACACCACAAGTTCGTCTTGGATCTTGTCAACAAATACAAGGGCAATAGTGAAGGTGATAAGAAGTGCTTCTCATACATGATTCGTTGGTATGTCCAAGTTCGTAAAGCATTGCTGAGCATAATGCCGAAGGTTTTTGAAGTACAAAAGTGAATCCAGAATTGATGTTTGTTTTTCTTAATTGACACAAAGGGGTAGATTGTTGGGTATTAGATGTTTTTTCATTGGCCTTTTTGTATAGTCTGTTATGTAAACGATTTGGGCTTGTACATCTCATATTTAATTCTAGGGTTAGAGTATTTAAGGTACATGCATGCATCTTATGTTTGTTAACTCCGATATTATTCTGTAACCCTAATCACGCCTCTACAGTATAAATTCTTTGTCAAGTTCTTCTGAGGTGTGACACTTAATCATTCAGTATTATTCAAATCATATGTGTGTTCTTGCTTTTGCATGTTTTGAATCTAAATGATCATTAAGGATTTTCATCCTAACAAAACTGAACGCCTGCCAATGGATATCTACATGTACACCTGCACATATACCAAGTTCTACTGAAATTGCCAACCTTTTTCCTTAAATTAAAAGTCAACCTCTAGCTATGTACTATGTCTGAATTTTCTGATATGTCCATTGATGGGAGACAAACTTGAAGGAAATTCTCTCCTGCATCATGTAAATGACTCTCCAATCAATTAACAACACGTCAACACCATTCGGATCCACTTGTGTACGCACGTGCTTGTGTAAGAGACTTTCAATTCATCTGTGACTAATTAACATGCCCAGGTCCAACATGCATTAAAGATGCAGCACTCAAGCCGACTCACACTCCAAGCGACTGCACCTCACACATCCAATATTCTCCTGACAGCACATCCCCGGGCCCCAACTCCATATAAGACTCGTTTCCTTCACTTGTTTCCAGTCGTGAAAGTTCAAAGCAGGTCCACCATCTATTTACTTAATGACCATCACACGTATACTGATGAGTCCAATCACATGTCATTTCTTTTGTCTCATTTATTTGGAAATTCCAAGACCAAGCTGCTTCCACGTTTTTGAACTGGACCCACCCTCTTGTTATTACTTCCGATACCTTCTCCGCCCCCACCATTTCTGACCTAATTTTTTTATTTCGCACCCACTTGTCTCTAACCCATTCCGAACCTTTTTACCCATCTCGAACCTTACCGTTTATTTTTATTTCGGACCCTCCAGCTTCTAACCTATCTTCCACTTCTAACCTTTAAACCCTCCAACAATTTTCAGGAGTGAATCCATTTTCATTATGTATCCACCACCTAACCCATTTCCATTTTTTATATTCCGAAATTCTTTCATTTCATTTTATTTTATTTTATTTAACGCATTTATTTTCAAGTTTTTTTTATTATAACCAATTTATTCCTTTTTTTTAAAACCAATTAATTTTATTTAACACCCATTTTTTAATACCAATTATTTTTATTTTATACCAATTATTTTATTAAAACCAAATTTTTAATTAAAACCATTTATTTTTTTAACACCAATTTTAGCCCCATGGTTCAAGGCTTCATACTTCTTACTGATTATGAGTGATGACATGGTTGGTTCAAAGATTATTATGTGTGCCTCACCTCTACTAAGCAACTCGCATTTGCCTCCTCATATTTATGTGCTTCAGAGATGATCATTTCCGAGGTTCATATTTTTACTCCCTTCGAACTATTTATATATGGTCTCGGTCCATTATTTGGGAGTTTGGGTTTGCATTTTGGTTATCGGCATTACTTTGGCTCAGCATTATGATTATTCAGCAGCGGGTTTTATGATATATATTCTACAGTGTTTGTTCTATTCGGCAATACATCACCATGTCTACCCATGACCGAAAAATAATATCCTCGTTTTACGGGTAGATGCTCACATCAAGGGGGAGCGTGCGATGCTCCATAATATCCGACATATTCTCTTTCCCGGTTTCATGATTATATTTGATCTCTATTACATGGTCAATCAAAAATAAGGGGAGAATCATGAGAATCCATTATGGTTTATTATTGGAGTTTTGATGTTATTGACATTTGAAGACGAATATTCATTTAGTAGTATGATGTGGCAATGATTTTTGGTCTTCACAGATCAAATTTTTGGTACTACTAGACGTTCTTCGGATTATGATTATTTATCTTCAGACTCTACATTTTGGGATGTCTCATTTGTGTTTGCATCCATTTCATATCTTATGATTTCTTGAGTTTGGATTTGTGATATTTTCAAGACGATGATTATTTTAGCGATGCGGCATGTCACTTACTTTTGATCTTCCGATCAAATTTTTGGCATTGCTAGACCATGTCCTCAGATTCATATTATTTATCATTCGGACTTTATTTTTGTGTGCTTCACATTTTCAGTAGGTTAATCTTCAGAGATTATTTGGTGCGTTATCATTCGAGTTTGTAATATTGAAGACATTGTGTGATTTGACATTGTGCTTTCGGTTCAACAGTCGAGGGGGAGACTCTGAACATGATTAGTTGTTGGGGACTAATCACATTCGAAGATTGGGATTTCATACTTTTATTCAGAGATTGGAGTTTCTCTGTATGTTCGTTGATGCTAGACATTCCATTGCCATATTCTGAGATCATGACAGCTTCAACTTTCCCGAGACACTTCAGCACCAGACCTCCCAGACCTTCACGCCGGATGTTCTGCCTTTTATCATTGCTTTACCCTCACCATTTCCAAGCATTTAGGGGGAGATTGTTGGAGCATGAAAATGGTCTACAATGTTGAGTGTTTATTAGGTTAGAATATTCCCTTGTATGAAAAGCATATTCCCTCCACTAGTATATAAAGTGGAGGTGATGGTCATTTTATTGTAAGTGTCCACTATGTAGAGTTTGTAGTCTAGAGAGCGTTTGGTGGGATCTCTCCCACCAAGGGAGGGTTATCTATCCCAACCCAAGAGTGTTCTTGTAATTTTTTATATCGCTCAATTTATCTACCACAGTTTTACTCACATATCTTGTTCATCATGTTCATACACGATTATCTTCTTGGTAATATCTTCCTCACTGATCCAATCAACAAAATGGGAACCTACAAAGAACTTGCATCATGAGAAGCTTATCAAACTACAATCATCTTGGAAGATCCTCCGAAGTCTCCTCAACACGATGCCTTTCAACCTCATTCAAACAAAGAGTTCATGTTTGATGAAGACAGTGCATTCGTTGGCGCTTCTCTAATCTTCTCCTCATTCCATTCACTACAAAATCCATCATCAAGACCTGTCTATGATTTTGGACTGACATCATCTTCATCGGAGCATGTTGATGAAGAAATCCAGATATATGACAAAGTCCAGGAAACACTTGAAGGTGAAACAAAAACAAACCCTCCCAAAGAAAATCAAACAGAGAATAATCCAGCTCCTTCCGAACCTCCAGTCAACAAAGGTGGTGATAAAGACAATTTTGAGAGTTCCACCTCATACATTGGATCATCAGACAAAAACATTGTTGATCCATTTACCTTGTTGGAATGAGACAAAAACTGTCTCCAAGGCCAACTCACTCGATAAAACTGCAACACAATTAGATTCCAAGATTGATGTAAAAGTATCCAATCTCGATTCCAAACTTGACGTCATTCTCAAATCCTTGTCCAGGATGAAGCAAATTGGGCCCTCCAAAGCAGAAAGGGTTGAACAACTCAATTAACTTATCTCCCTACGTTTCAAGCATACTCTAGAAGAAGTTGAGCAAAAATACAACTCCAACCTGGATCACCACATCAACATCAACTATATAATGCTCAAAATACATGAAGACATGATCAGTGCCACCAATGATCTGATAAAGAAAACACATATCTAACATGAGAAGAAAATTCATAGGTTGGAGAAGGAAATCAAAAAAAAGGATGAACCTAATCTCATTATGCAGTAGGTCCTCATTAAATTAATATGAACTTGTTGGAACATAGTGGACTTTCCGAACAACAAGTTCGAAGAGATACACTCTATCCTTGGTTCCTTATTCGGTCACTTGAAAGCCCAAGCTCCCACAGCTAAGGCCTATGATGCCCTTTCGAAGCAAATCAACATGAGCTTCCAAAAGGTATTCGATAGGCTATTCGATGTTCAAGATACAACTCAAGAATGGATAATTCACAATTAATGATGATCCTCAAACAATC